ATAGAATGGCAGTTTCAATTTGAAACTCCCAATGGATTCGATCATCTCATTTATGGAATTCCAATATTCTTGATTTCACGCCGATTTATTGAATTCCACTTATTCGAACCGTTTTTACTATTTACAAATAGTCTATTTTATGCAGTACTTTGGTATTATTCAGAATTATAAACCTATTCCTATTCCACTACACGAATAGAATGTCAAATCATTTTTAGAAGAGGTTGTTTTGGCTCTACTTTGATTTTATCAAACTATCACAGATTGATTCTACTATTTATATATATATATTATGCAGATATGAATAGTAGTTTATCACAAGTAATCTTCGCTCAGTCCAAACGATATTCACTCGATCGAAATGTGTACTATCCATTATTCTATTCATTTTCACTTTTGGAATGCTAATCTCGCTTTAAGTACTCTTTTCCTTTCTATTCGATTATTAAGTAAATTGAATGTATTTAAAGAGTAGAATGAAATTGTGATTTTGAAGGTACAGCGCTTTCAGTAAAACAGGTCGCACAATTTATTATTACTATGCATCTATACACATTGTACAATATATTAGTAGAAGAATGAGAGCTTTCTGAGAGTCACACAATTCAAAAACCTAAATAGTGGTATATTGTTGTATAATATGATCTTTCATCATTTTGGTTTACATTATTTGAAACCCTTCTCTACATTCATTATCACATCAGGATTATTCTTGTTCTATTGTGGTTATATATATACACCTCAAATTGCAAAATAACCACTTGTTACACTCCAATTCAAGCTTCTTCATTATATTCACACATATATATACTCACATTCACATCCTATATACAAAATCACACATTCTATCACGAAACCAAGACCTTCAACAAACAAACTTCCCATTTCCACTATCTACAATTATGGATAGATTGCCCGCTGCCCATATTATCTATCTATCTATATTGATTGTTCTAGAGATAGTACAGAAAGTGCTCAGTTCAAACCTACTCCGTTTTTATTCTTGTTTGTTCTATTGATTTATTGATCAACATGTCCTTATTAGAAATTAACTATTATTATCAAAAACCAACAACTTGTGAATCACAAGGTCAACCAATTAACATTCCATATATATATATCACCGTGTTCCATTCTATGTCCACATTACGAATATAGAATCACAATTTTGATAGGTGTCTAAATGACTTTGAAAATCATTATTCTATAACAAGAAATAGAGTTTCTTATTCTCATTCTTATTCTATTTTGATTCAATAAAGAATCACAAATCACTGGATTGTCTATTATTTTATCAATTTGCATTCTATATGGTCTATTGAATAATATTGAAAAACAAATAACGATAAAAGTGAAGGTGTAAAAGTGGTTTGTACTTTTCCAAGAATTCTATTTATGGAAACATTGTACTCGTTGTGTACAATACGCAGATAATAATAGAGATCGATTTGGAGATACTTGTTTCCAAACTAACTTTGATATTCATTTCATATGTTCTCGGTGTGCCTAAGAGAAGTGTTGGGTCACAACACACCAAGAGAAGGATCGAAGGAAGGGTATATGGAGAGTGTCAAGAATCTGGATAGAAGACTACGAATCGATCCACAAAGACAACAATCCATGGAGATATCGAGTATTCATGGCCTCCTAACATGCCTGGGACCTCATCACTTTCACTTCACATAAAGTATTAGTATTTCACACAACAAATATCATGAATTGAATTGAATTGAATTGATTAGATTAGTTAATCAGATGTGGGAGTTCGTTATTGTTGAGTGAAATGATAACACCCGAAAAACTCGTATTGATGGCGTTGAAACGCCTCCAAGAGCACGTGACAAGACGAGTTGAATATTGATTGTACTTGGAGAAGAAGTATACGATTCTTGATGAAGTGTATCCACAAGGAAGACTGGTTTTCCGCAGTTTAGGAAGAATGAGAGGTTAGTGAAGAGCCGAAGGACGTCAACGAAGAGTTCGGTGGAGGTGTGTGTGAAAGAACCGGTTGAAAGTACTGAAGATAATCGGTTAAAAGAAGAAGTTGTGCAGATAGGTAGATAAAGAGAGAAGAAGAATGGAAGAACTCTTGTAATAAGTTGAGAGAGGACAGTGAGAGAAAACAGCCTGAGATAATCCCAATAAAGGCAGAAATGAAGAAGAAGAAGACGATCGTGAAGAAGCATTCTAAAAATCAAAAATCAAAATCAAGAAGGACTGTTACGAAATCTCCCAACCACGGCAAAACTCCGATAAAAACGCAAGAGAAGAATAGTGAGAACCGTGTGAAGAGACCTGGAAATGAAAAGGAAGAAGTGGTGTTGCGACACACGGAGAGTAAAAGAGTGCGTTTGGAAGAGGAGGTCAAGCCGATTGAACCAAAAGAGGTTTCGCCTTCAACAAAGGTAGAGTGGAGTTTGCTGGAAGAGAAGAAGGATTGCGAGTTGCCATGTGAAGAAGTGAAGAAGAAGAAGGAGAAAGAGCGAGAGCAAGAGCAGTATAGTAATCACAAGTTGTTCGGAGCAGAAGGTTGATTCTCCCTATGTGTGGTAAACGATTATTCGATTTTTTCAATTTTGTGTGGTGGAGAGGAAATAAGAAAGAGAATGCAAAGAAGATATTGGGAAACTCAAATTCGACAGGAATGTATAGTTTTGAAGCGGCTGTGAAAGAAGAATCGTGTGCGAATAAGAATGAAGCCAGCTTAAGTATGAGTGGTAAGAAGACGACGAATAGTGAATATATGAGTGAAGATAGTATGGAAAAGATAGTCAGTGATGACAAAGAAGACTTGAAGGTTTTGTGTGGTGATAGGGAGAGGAAGCGAGAATGCGATTCATCAGAGAGGACGAATACGGTCCAACAGAAGAATGTCCGCCGTATAAGAAGGTTCATTCTGAAATGTCGGATAAGAATGCGAATTTGGATACACCACTTGAGCTGGTGGATGAGAGATGGATTTGTAGTAAATTGAGCCCAATTCGATCCGACAGTATATTTGCCTTCCCATCTGGGAAATTGAACACCGATTTATGTGCTTTGTCTTATCTTAGGGAAGAGAGAGGAAATGGGTGAGAGAGTTGTAGGATGCGATGGGAGTACTGGAATTCGTTGGAAATGTCCACTTTTTGAAGAGATATGGTACCACACATGCTGACATGGAAGCATCCTCTAGAAGGAAAGAAGGAAAGAATGAAGGAAGGAGTCTATAGAGGATCTGGCGCTGTTGTTTACTCCATCAAAGACAGAGAGAAGAAGGTGGGGTAGAGTACCATATAGAATGATTGAGAGTGGTTAGAGAAGAGTACAAGAAGCTGAAACCAATTCTGGAAGCCAAGAAAGAAGAAGAAAGAAGAAAGAAGAAAGAAGAAAAAGGCGAGAATGAAGGAGGTTGATCTAGAAGCGAAGGCATCGGAGAAGAAATCACAGACAGAGAGAAAGGAAGACAAAGGTACTCGTGTTGTTTCTACGACTGTTTTGATGACTGCTAATTCGACGTTTTCTACTTGCGGATTCTGGTGACGCGTGTCAAGTTTCTACTCACATCGCTGTGGACAACAGATTTCTCTCGATTTTGACGTGTAAGGATTCAGTGGATTTGAAAGTCTCGCTACGTGGCTTTGGTGACTGTGGTGTTATTCCGAGAGGATCCTTGGGACGGAGGGTCATTGAAAGGATCGATTGTGCGAACTGGAGCGATATTGTCAAGGGTTCGATGAGAAATGGAATTGATTCTGTGTGTACCTCATCTGTGGAATATCATGGTTGGGAGAGCCTTGGGAAGGAAGAAAGGATTGTGAGAAAATCCAGGCACCATGTATTGGTAATAAAAAGTCTTTTGGGGAGTAGGGTGAGAAAGTTGGTTGTGAGGAAGTAGTAAGATTTTTGCAAAGGACTTCCTACGAGCGGCTCACTCTATATGGTATGTGGCATAAAGGGATAGCAAGCAGATCCCGGAGGTGGGTTAGTGGGAAAAAGTCCAAGGCCGTAAGGTATTGAAGGTCTAGACGGTGAACAACCCGCTCAAAATCTCCTGCATGTCAATGAATTGTTTGTTTGTTTGTTTGTTTGTTAACCCCATTTTCTTGCCTAGGATATCTGTTCTGTTTCTCGTATTTTCATTTTCATATTGTGAGGTGGTAGAGTGTGGTAGAGAGAACGGATTTGCGATGAGTGAAAGGGCAAACTATGGGAGCAAGAGCTGTAGGTTTGTAGAAGCGGAGCGTGTGTGGAACTTGGGAGAATGGGACAAGAAGGCGGAGTATGCGAACTGCTATGGGTACGGTCCTCGCCTCTGATTGATGGGAGCCGAGTGAACTGGAATGGCCAGTGGGAGCAGGCGAGGTCGAAGACGGTGCAGTTGTGCATTTGTGGGTCTGTGGAGCATGGGAAGGTGGAGGTGTGCGTGGTGCGGGTGCCTCGCGCGCAGGAAAATGCAGAGCTGCCACAGCCCGAAGAGGGCGTGGTTGGAAGACTGGGGTTGGTGTTCGGTGAGCATCAGGAATGGGTGTATGGGGTCAGGAGCGGAGCCTCCACGCGTTGTGATGGAATCCACGAGCGATTTGTGGGTGAAGCTGAAGTACATGGGGCTGCTTAAGAAGAAGGAATTGAGCGTTGAGCGTTGAGCGTTGAGCGTTGAGCGTTGAGCGTTGAGCGGAATGAAGGGACTGGCAAAGGATCATTTGTAAATGGTGGGGTTGGATTGGAGCCTTGGAGCGGTTCACGGAGGATAGGATGGATGTGTTGGTGGAGGACGTGAGCGGATGATGAAGGGTTGGTCTGCGGCTTGGGCTTGGGGTGCGTGGCGGATGGGGCATTCCCCGCGGTTTTGTATGCGGTGTGTGTGGAATCAGGCGGAGGGCATTGAGTGGGACTGTGCGATGGCGATTACCGGATCCTTCCATGATCTCTGCACCGCCACGTGCGAGCTTCGCGCTCCCGCGACTTCCTCCTTCCTCCTTCCTCCTTCCGCCGAACCGTCTGGTTCCCCGCGGGACGCGATGTGTGGGACGTGTTGGAGGGTGGGATCCCCGCGACTTCCTACACGCTGGAGTGCGTCCCGAGCGAAGTGGGCAGTGCCGAGTGGATGGGCAGGCAATTCGGAGTGTCCACGATGGCCACGTCGGAATTCGTTGGGTGTTGGTGGTGGACGGCGAGCCAACCTCCTCGCTCACCGGTTCGCTCTGGGTGTGGGTGTGGGTGTGGGTGTGAGTGAGCAGGAATCTGGTGGGCGATGGGGTGGGGTCCGTGGCTCCCTACGAAGGTGTGCAGAGTCGACCGGGCTCTCTGGATCTCTTCCTGTCCAACTGGGCGCAGAACGCCACCGTGGTCTCCGTCACCCAGCCCCTCCGCCTCCGCCTCCGCCTCCGCCTCCGCTTCCTCTTCCTCCTCGCCTACGACGTGACCGGCGCGCTCATCCGCGCCCACCTCGTCGATCACGCCTGGTGCGCCGTGGGTCGCGATGTTTCCACGTTTCCACGATCCAGACCGATTTGACAGTTGCTGAGAGAAAGAGAGAGAGAAATGGTTGCGGTGTTTGGTTTGGAAGATGGATGGATGGATGGATGGATGGATGGAATTGTAGAGATGTGGAATGGTTGAAGCGTTGTAGGATTTGAATGAGAATCGAAAATGTGTTTAGGAAGGAAAGAAGGAAAATGTAGATTTAGAGTGTGTAGGGTGTTGAAATGATTTAGAAACATGAACAGAATAATCCAGAACGAGGAACCAAACGACTCTAGTTGATAATAATAATAATAGAGTGCTGTGAGTTGATAGTTGAAACAAAGAAAGATAGAAAGAAAGAAAGTGTATTTAGAGTTAGTTGGTTGGTTTAGGATAAGGAAATGATAGAAAATGGAGTGAATGGTTAACGATGTGCGAAGATAGGTTCTTTGTGTGAAAATCACTGGATCAAAACCAATTTCCATTCCATTTGATTTGATTCGATTTACTAGTTTTACTAGTTTGAATTGCTTTCAAACCCAACCATTCCCAAGTCAAAATGATTTGGCTAGAATCATGGATGGATAGATTGGATTATCGAAATAATAATGATGATAATATAGACTATTTAGACAAAGTGGAGTGAACAACCAAATCCTTGCTTCATAACACGATTTCACTATGATATCATAAATATACAACCTATACAGACATAGTAGACAACAAAATGGACTTTTCCATTCTGTGTGTTTCCAAACAATCCTGATATTATTATTATTAGAAATATCTATACCTCCGAACTATTTCAACCACAAAAATGTGAACAAAATGATGCGAAACACAAGTGAGTACTTCACTTGGAAATCTTGGATCCAATGTGTATATGGTAGCACTCTATCATAATTTTCAAATATGAAGAATACTTAGGTGTAAAGAAACAAACTGATCTTTCTGTTTTCTTCATAAATTCTTTATATTTGGCTACAAATTACGGGTTCAAAGAGTAGAGGCTAAGGATATGTGATTATAAATAGGTAGAATGGAAGAACTTAAGGGAAGCGAATTTCTCCTGGACGGTTACATAACGCGTGGTGAAGCAAAGGAAATCACTATTGGGGGCTGCAAGTATAGCCTCCAATGTTATCAAGGCGATCACGAGGATGAATACACGTTGACGAAAGCTGGGAAGGTTTGCCTATTCCAAAATGGCATACTGAAAATGTACTACGAGGTGGATGCGGACGAGAGCGAAATCGGTGACTTTACGCGATTTGAAAAAGGATGCGTCGCTTATGTGCAATCATTTGACGATATCTGGGACAGAAAGAATTTTCATCGTATAATAAACCATGTCCGAGGCGAGCGTATGGAAATCTATTCGCATGCGAGTGATCACCTGATTTATCACGGTGAATTCAATGAGAAGCGAGAGAGGGAAGGATGGGGCATCGTGTATGACGACAAAACGGGTGCCATGCTGCTCGAGGGGATGTGGAAGGAAAACAAGCTGGTGGAGATCATCCGCAAAATCGAAGGAACCATTATGATTGAGTTCAAGCGAAACGGTAACAACACCATCGCTTCAAATCGAATTCCTCTCTATGTGGGTGAATTCGTTTATGATGAATCGAAAGAATCGTTTCTTCGAAATAGTCGAGGATACTGGATCGATGAAGAAACTCGGATTGCTACTCGCGAAGTGGAATGGAAAGATGGAGTGGAAGTGAGTGGAAGAGATCTCTATGATGGATGGCATATTCATTCATTCATTCACTCAATATTACTTGTTTATTTAATACTATGCTATGTTAATCACATTACATTTCACATTGTTTTGTTGATCAAATAGAAAGCAAGGTTTTCATTCATAGGATTCATGGATTCCATCCATTATCATATTATTCAATCGATTGTTTTGTTTAATGATACTATGATTCCTATTCACCATTTCAATCTATGAACCACATTCCTTTCTCTGCAATATCATTCTTTGTACTCAATATGGATGATCATTGTGACAGAAGAGAATCGAAGTATCTACAGAGAATCAATACAATAATCCACTTGTCAAATAGAAATGATGGATTTTGCATTCTACATACTACTGTCATACTCTCTATTACGAATCTAACCATTCCAACAGTATTTACTATTGTGAGTTCGATTGTTGCAAAACAAGATCAACTACCACATAATTGATATATTTTGAAGAACATATATCCATTATAGACTTAATAGAACAGCCATTCTAACATGAGAGAGTAAAGGTGATCAAAATGCGTAATAATTTACAATCAAAGCTATAAGTATCAGTAGGAAAATGGCGCATAAAGCGCGAAAATTTTTTCGGCCTTTTTTCTGCCATTTTATTCCTGACCTCCTTTTTTCTACCTGGCCTCCTTTTTTCAACCTGGCAACCTTGATGGCCATGGCGCATAAAGCGCGAAAAATTTTTCGGCCTTTTTTCTGCCATTTTTATTCAAGGCCTCCTTTTTCAACCTGGCTGCCTATTTCTACCTGGTCTCCTTTTTTAGACCATTTTCTACCTGGCAACCTTGATGGCCATGGCGCATAAAGCGCGAATAATTTTTCGGCTATTGTCTGCCAATTTGGTTATTGTCTGCCCTTTATATTATGGTAAAGAGAGAAAGACCATGCACTACTCCATGCTTATTCAAGGCTCACCTAGTAACGGCTCATTCACATGGATCAACCCGTACAAGTACAAGAATCCCTATATCACTTCCATGACTGTCCTGTTTCATCCTAATGGTTCGATGTTTAATAACGTAGACACGACCAATGTGGTTACTAACAGCAATGACGAGACTGTGACGATCCCTGCTGGTTATTACACGCTCAGTGAGATCATTGCCTTGCTCAATACAATGTCTGACACGCTGTTCTCCATATCTACGAATGCCTCGTCATTCGGTTGTATTTGGATTCAGTCCCCACACACGATTGACTTCACAGATGCACCTGACATTCGTGAGATCCTCGGTTTGGAAGGACGAACGATCATTCTACCTGCTGCGTTCTACGGTTCGAACGTGATTGATATCACGCGAAATCGCCAAGTGATCCAGGTCTACTCGACGATCGTGCGATCATCGGACCTGAAGATTGCCAACCAGAACAACAACCTGCTCACCACGATGATCATTGACGATCCAAAGGTTGAGTACGTGCGTGAGCTGTGGAAGACGTGTGCATACCAATGATCACTCGGTTTGATCAATTGATGTTCGTGTTCCGCGATATGGATGGCAAGATGCTACGACTGAACGGCGAATTCGAACTCCAGTTGACGATTGAGGACGTGTACGAGCAAAGTGAAAATAGCGTCACTTCCGCTAATCAGTTCTCCATGATTGAAGTGTTCGGTAATACCACCAAGAAGGAAGTGAAGCTGGACAATCCTCTCTCGTTCGACCAGTGCTACATCTCGTCTGTGTCGTTGTATACGGACTTCGTGTTGCACAACGTGCCGACTGATCAAGTGGTGCTAATCAATGCTGGCAGTACGATTCAAGAGATCACGATACCACGCGGTGCATACGACATCGAAACGATCATTGCAAAGCTGAATGCAAGTGATGCCCTGTTCGAATTGGTGTATAGCGGTGAGAATGCGTTCCACATCACGGTAGATCACTTCTACATGATCGATTTCACGAATGCACCAGAGATCAGGTCGATCCTTGGTTTCGAATCGGACATCTTGGTGAAAGGAGTGGATAACCCGAAGCGCTACTACATGTCTTCCTCGTGTAATCACGTGGTTGTTACTGATGGCACTGTCTCGCACATGTTGACATTGCCTGTCGGTTACTACACGTTCAGCGAGTTCATCGAGGCTGTCGGTGCTGAAATGGTGAAAGTGCTTCCACTCACATCCATGACGATCGAGAATGATCATGTTCGCTTCAATGTCCAAGCAGACGGATGGTATTTCGATCGATCCAGTGTTGACACGACGATCGATGGTTTTGGTTGGACTCCATGGTTCAAGCTGTCTCCATCTGTGCAGAACCTGTGCATCGAACGACCAGTGGAAGCTTCGTTCAACCCTGAAAGCGATTCCCCACCTGATATGACGAATGATCAAGGTATTGGTGGTCATGCGTACATAGGATCAAACACCTTCATTGCGTATGACTGGAAAATGCGTACGAATGATAATCGGTTCCTGCTAAAGCCTCTCGCGACATACACGATGCGTTTAGCTGATGGTTCAGTACTCGATAGTGGTGAATTCTACATAACGGAAGATACGTCTACCCCGATCAAGATGAATACTCTTACAACCACATGTTTTAATGAACTCAATGCTCGATATGCGAGTGCTATGGAACTACCTCCATCTCACCAGAATGCGATTGCGTGGACGGTGAATGACAATAGAGAAAGCATGTCATGGACTGCGAAGGACTATGCACCAGAATTGGAATTGCATATCACATCGGAAAATACAGGTGACTTGGTGTCATCGAATGGTTCTTCGATCGGACCTTGGTATTCCAAGGATAGTATATATCACACGAAAGTGTTTATCGATACGACGAATTTTATACTTGGAATACGTGGATATGGCGAAAGACCTCTCACAATCCAACGAGGTCATTATAGCGCTATTGATATCGTGAATATGATCGCTAATGTGATCAATAAGATATATGTAGATGCATCTCTCGGAGGGTACTTGGTATATGTCATTGCAGATAATGGTGGTCGAGTACGAATGGGATGTCGAAATGGTACAGAACCACGATTCATATTGTTTTGTGATAATCCATGTTTCAAGATTATACCCGGACCATACGCTGAACCAGGTGGTGTGTATCTGTCTTGTTATTTCGAGTTTTATCGCAATTACTACATCAGGATGCCCGAGTTGACATCACCTTACGAGTTTGCGATGGCAAACATCGATGGTCTGAATGTGACGAATATGATCAAAGGTAGTACGTATTCCGATCGTGCTGTGTCGATCGAATTCATACAACCGACACGTGTTACGTATGTGAGGAATGATGAAGTTGTTGTTCCATCATTGGCTACCTTCGTTGACTGGGATCAATCTGAGTCGTACACGGCTAACACGACGATTCGCTTCCCGTACGGAATGATGACACTGGACGATAGTGCTGCTGAGACAGTCATTACGTAC